AAATCGAATCAGATATATCGAATAATTTTTCCGTTACAACAGATTCATCCTCTTTTTCTCGCGCTTCTTTTTACCAAGTACCATTACCGTTGTTACTGCTGCGGCGCCGGCTCATTTCTACGATCGGCTGGACGCCTGATTCTGCTGGTCCGCTGCGATCATGTTGATGCCATTCGATGTCACCGCATGGCGGCGGGTACCCTGAATTGAACGACTGCACGCTATGCAGAGTCGCTGTTGTTGTCGTCAGTAAAACGGGAGTGAATTACAGATGGCCACAGACATTAGTGAATATTGCTACTGGCCGGCAAAGAAAGCCGCCATCCTGGTGGGTCGGTCTATAATATATAGCGGCTGTTGTGATAGAGCCAATGATGATAGATTTAACGACGATGATGGTGGCACAATAATAATGATAACCTGATGTCGATGCATCTTCCCGTTGTCCCTGCTTGTTGCCGAGTGGAAATAAACAATGAGAGGAATACGAGCCAGGTTAGAACCGCTTTCATTCATTTACATAGGCACACACATGTATCCACTATCGGCAAGGGCCCAGAGGAACACACGGAAGCTATTCTTTTCGTTGTTAGATGAAGCAGCTATATACGCTTGTTGATGTTTTCTTCGCTAGCTACCGAAACAGAGAAATGCAATGAAGTCAACCTTGTCCTGGGCTTGTGTTTGTACTAAGGAATTCGATCACTGGATGCAACGACACGAGCGACACCAACAAAATGAATTCTGATCTTTGTTTCAAATTGATTTTTTTTCTGTTATTAATCTTTCTTTCTACACAACTAGTTCATAGAGATTTGTATTCGACGGGAAGATTAGCTGTTGAGAACTGTTCCTCGGCTGTCATTTCTCCTCTCAAGATTTTAAAGGGAATCGAAGCTGAGGAATTCAACGGCCGCTTTTTTCGTGCGGAAAAACATTATTGTTAGAGCTTTTTTACGGAAATTTGCGATAGTGTCATGGCCTGACGACGATGTCCCATGCAAATGGATCTCAGAATCGATCATTCTTCGTATCGTCTCAGCAATCTTCCTTGTTACGTCGGCCAAGCATGGAAACGGACATAGCATGGGTTCTTGATTCTACCTTAGTTGGTTTTATAAAATGATATCAAATACTATCATCATGTAGCTCTATTATTTGTAATAATACACGTAAAAAGAGGTTCTGAATGTACTAACAAGAGGTTGATCTAGCAGAGACCAAAAATTTTAACATATTTCAATCATTAATCAACCTATTGGCTCGTGATCCATAGACATTTCAGCAACTATTTCTGGAAAACGGAATGATGCAAAAAACACGACCAAACGAACAATAAATACTTAATTTTAATCATAATAAAAAAAAATATGTCGAACCAAATTTCGAAATACTTCACGGATTTCTCGACGTCAAGCGTATACGGTACTTTACGTTCAATTTATCTTTTTTTTCCAAATGACTGCTAGCGCACAATATTTACCTTTTTACCAGATTCGCTTTGCATTAATCTTTTTGTCCAATCCCTGAAGGTATTTATCATATTTTTTAATCTTTGCAGACCGTAATTGTACGATTCCATATATTACCAAGTCGTTCTAACGTTTCGCAGCGTATGTCGTTCTACACCGATGTCAGACGAAACGGATCAGCGTCTTTTCAATCGTCGCAATGTTTCCTTTATTCTAACGATGCATCAGCTTATGCTGTGGCCATATCAGAATCGTCTCACTGCCAAACCGAGTCTAAAACATCAGCTGGTTTCTTTAGCTTTTTTTCTGTTTGCTGCTTACTAACATTTATACGAGATACATCTGTATATTCATTCGATGTCTCCTGGAAAGTTAAAATCCTACCGATCTGACTCCGGGCTGTCCCATAAAATAGACGAAAAGGTCTCTAGAATACCACAATGCAATCCCGCTGCTGCCGTCACCGACGTAGCGAAGAAATTCCAAATTATTTCTCGGAAGGAGCAGTCAGTTACCCAAGTCCAAATTTTTGATAAAGATAATGAATGTCCCTAAATTTTTTCCCAGTTCCTAGGAGAACGATGCCCTTGTTGTTGCCGTTATCGTTGACAACTGATCTAGACCAGGCATGCATTGATCCCCGCAAGTAATCCTTCGCTAGAATCGTCGCTTCAAATAATCTTCACGCCGTATTATACGCTTCTTTTGTAGTACTTACCGTGTCTCTCTGCGCCCTCTTTCGCTCTGGCCGTATCCACGATTCTATTCTCGCTCGCAACGTTTTACGCTAAGCCGATCTACGGTGGACTATTGGCGTACCTTGCTGCTATGTACACTTATAATAACGCCACAGCCCAAAAGCGAAAGGAAGCCCATTTGAATTAACCGCGGGAAATGAAAATTTCAAGATGGTGCACATCTCGCTAAGAGGGCGCGACATTCGTGCGACTCGGATCGTGGCTGCAGCTACTCTCATGCGCTATCTCGAGCACTTGCCAAGCAGCCAGTCAGCATTCTATGACATGAAATAGATGTATATGCAGGGTAATACACGGCCAAAGCCCTTCTTGCCGTTGCTATCTAACAAACTGTCTGTGGGACCTGTGTTTACAATTGGACAACGCGAATGACGACTATAGGCAATGATCTACGTTCGTCTGACTGTACATCTATGAAACTGGGTGACTCTGGTGTCCATGACGAAAGTGACCCATCCTATCATTTACGGCGAAACACGCCGCTGCCGTAATGGCAGCCATGGCCGGTGCGTGCGCACGAGCATGACGTGCCGGTGATCGGTCTATTTATCCGGAATCTAACTAGCTGTCTGTATCTGTGAGATAAGATGCGATATTGTTGTTCGTGTCACCGTCGTCGTTGTGGTCATTTTAAAATCTAACGTAAACGCCTTTTCGATGCAGCAGTGGCAGGGGGCAGTCGAAGAATTTGACTCTCGTGTGAATATTTATTACCCAAAGCTCATTTTGTTTTATTCGTTTGGTCGAACGAGTACTCTGGATAGCTATCTTAAGCTATATACGCAAACGTGTATCTTATATATGGAGTATACATGTGTAAGATGTATATGGCAATATTATGTCTACTTTGTCCTTGTAATGGCGGCGTTGACCGCTGTGACGATTTCTATAGAAGCATACATGCAAGCTTAGCTTGTCTTACGTTTGACCAACGGTCATAAATATCAATACCCGTTATTTGTTATATATCCAAAATTTATTCCTACTCTACTACAGACACTATCTCATAACAGAAATATTGACATGGAGAGATTTTTGAGGTTCATTATTAGGCGTGCTCATAGTTAATATTGATACAGGCTCACAAACGTACCCAGATATTTGATATGTTTGGTTAGAAAAAAAAGTATGATCTATCGTTTCAACGTAAGCTTGAGCCAAATAGAGAAAGAACTGAGGATTCATACAAATGAATAGAAATGATCTTTGTTTTCAACATGGCTAACTGCTCAAAACAAGGCTGGCGTTGTCGCTGCTTCATAACAACAATCGGTTCAATGGGTATAACAGAATGTATAAATCGGCTTTTTAATGTAAATTCAAACTTCGAGTATTCGTTAGGAACGACAATTTCTCAAGGGGCCAACTAGTTTCAACGCCACAACGCCAGTTGTCCTATGGCGAAGCTTTCGCACCGTATTTTACAGAAGCCCACTGTTCGACATTCAATTTCAGCCAGGGTCTATCAATATGTAATCAAGGAAATCAACAGTGACTACGTACCGACCTAAATATAAACAAAGCCTAAACCGAAAGCAACTTTATATTGCATTTAGGCCGAGCGCTTCGTTTTACAGACGTGATTCACGAGTATTCTCACTATAAACCTGGCGGCGTAAACTTGAACTTGCATTTCCTTTGGCAGGCTCAGTTAATTGTCCTGGTCTATTCTGGGATTGATGGACTGTTAAGCGTCAAGTGATGTTGCCGTCTAGGTAATAATCGTTCCTCATTAAACACGTATCGTACGTTCATGATCATTCATTGTGGTCGCATTGCTAAATCAATGTAGGACACGCAGCTTTCCTTCCTAGAGATCGAAGCTGTTTTCGACTCTACAAACACCTACATACGAATATAATAAGAATCAGATAATGGTTACAATGCCGGTTACAATGAAATTGCGAAAACGCCTGCCTCGTGAATCATCATGCGGCCTGGACAAACTCGGTTCAGCGCATCGCTATGTTTTCATAGGCAGTCAAAGCGATCTTTCTCATCCTTCTGTTGCTTTACGGTATCAAAAAGAAGCTTAATAATAACATACGATACTGTTATAGATTGATCCCTCGTTCCGAATTCGTGTCGGCCATTTGTTCGCGTGTAATAGACTTATTTGGTTGGGGGGTCGGTCTTCGATCGACGTCCGATAAACTTGTGTGGATCAGAAACGGACACTACCGTTGGCCGGATCGTCCGCTATTGCCAACGGTAATACATACAGTGAAAAAAGCTAAATGAGATGCTTATCACAATAACACTAGACCTAATGATATCCTGTAACTATTGTTTGGCTTCCGCTGCTGAATAAATAAATCGTTCACCAATGCTTCGCTCGTCGTGCCTAGCTTATAACAGAGGATTTCTGTCTAACCACAGAAAATTTAGCACGAAAATGAAAAGGATCCGTAATTTGCTATTACCCTACCCTAGGCAGGCTACTGCCTTGTCCAGTTATCGGTCCTATTGAACTGAACGCAACTATCGCTCGCAAATCTACAACTTGAGACACTTCGATCGAAATCTCAAATTGACCAAACATCACTTGCAGTAATGATACTGCGTTTTGGGTAAGCATCGACACAATTGTTAGCGCACACTTCAGAGGCGTCTCTTCAATCCTTTAATTTACAAGGAAATCTAACTGAAATTTTGTCTTCCTTGGCAATTCACTCTCTGAAGTGACGATATGCGAGCTATCCGCTGTATTCTTCGTTCTTCCTTACCTAGATAGGGTTTTTTTCTATTCAGAAGTAAAGACAAGATGACATTAAAGCATTGCTGATCTTCTTATTTATTTAACTTATATTATCATTATAGGACATCGTCCGCAATTTCTTGATTATATTTACATTCGATAAGGTAAAGGACAATTGCACTCTTCCATCTAATCATCTTCTCCCCGTATTTTCTTCAATATGTCGATGTATGTATCTTTCGTCTCTATTTCAAACGATACCTCTCTGCCTTGTCCATACGAAACATGCATGTTATTTACATGATCATACAAACATTACTCATACCAGCTTCGCCTATATGTTTCAATATAAGTTATACAGCAGCCTGTTACAGCGTTGTTGTTATAAATAATTTACTATTACCCGGGAATGACTTTTACTTTTTATGTTATATACTGTACATTGTATTGGGGTGATACGATTGCCTGTCGAGTAGATAATAATTCACCATTTTCATTACTTTTAAATATAATAATATAAACAACATCGAATTTCAGACCTCAACAAATGAATAAATAGCACCATTTGTCTAGTCGGTAGGGGCAATCGTAAGGCTATTGTTATTGAAGAGACTGAAGCATTATTTAAAATGCCAAGGGTACATCGGTGAAGTCAGCCTTTTTTTTGACGTTTTACAAGAAAGTTCACAGAGACAGCAGCAGCAGCAGCAGCAGCAACAACAGGCTTCCGATGCCCAACGTACGTAGATAATCAAAGGGTGGTCATTTTGTCAACGGCTATATTCAAGACTCTTGATCGTTTGTGCATCTTTAGGGCCGTCAAGCGTCTGCTAACCAGCTACATGATTATATTTGTTTAAACAATCGACAGACGCTATTTTACTTCTACAATATTTCTCTGTTACTACAAACAGCTTAGTAAAAGCATATCTCCTGCATATTGTACAGAAAAAAAAAAAAAAAAAACAATGTGCTAAACACCCCTCAACAAGCTTGCGTGATATTTACACATTATTCTATGTTTATGAGTAACAAAAAAAATCTCAACAAAAAAATGCACTTGATTTTCATAAAAAATGTATCGTTCGCCTTAAGGGAACACAAACAATTTGTTCACCTGAGGACAATCTTTTTTTTTTTAGATTGGAGATCTTTTTAAGTTGAAATGGCTGTGAAAAAGTAATTTACTACTTATTTCTATAAACACCAAAGAACTACTCTTCTAGTCTATTAGTATACCTCTATCTCATTCTCCATAGACCAGTATTTAGCCAAAAATCTTCTAACAGTGTAAACTTAATACACGGCATGAGTTGTCTGAGAGATATCTTCCGTAGATCTAATCACATTTGGCACAAATAGTGCGTAACGACGTGAAATAGTAATAATCATATTAACACTAGTAAAATTGCTAATTAAAAAAAAATATTCATCTTTGCATTTGAAGCACGGAATCAGCGCCAGCCTCAGTATCCGTTCGGCCTTTTAACTTCTCCTAAAGCCAGTTTAACGTGCATTCAAGTTGAAGTACGCTACGTTCGGCTCGAGAGAAACCAAGCTCAATTTGACGCGATACATACAGGCAAAAATCACTTTTTGTTTGCTTTTCGCCAAAATGAAGCATGGATCCCATCATCGCCAACTGTTCTTTCTCTCTCGATGTTTTTACATATTATAGTGATTTGGCTGCATGTAGATCTGCGACGACGTCATCATACCTACTTCGCTGCTACTCAGGCCACCCTTATTGCTCAACATCGTTGCAGCCTGCAGCTGTTGTGTAGATGAATTGTTGTGGTTAATTGGCTGGGGACTGTAAGTGTTCCGGATGACGCTGGTTGCCTCCATTGGATGAGTCATCGTCGTCCCTACCGACGCGGGGCTGTGGCCGTTTTTGCTGAAGATGACCGTGTGCGCAGGGGGCATTGCGAGACCCGACCAACCCGACTGTACGAGTGGAGCGCCGGCCAGTGCTCCTCTCTGTGCTCCACTCTGATGATGCAGCTGCCGCCGTCGGTGGCGGCTTAGCAAACATCATCTAATGACAAATACTGTTGAGAGGGCAGCTGCAATACAGGCGACAATTACCAGCCAAATCAGATGGCTCTGATTGCATACAAAACACCAGGTCGACGAGGATAACCTGGTGCTGTTGGTGTCCATTGATGAAGATGATGAAGAGTGATTCGAAGGACCTCGCTGCTGCTGCTGCTGCTGCTGCAGATCTGTTAGGACGTCCCCGTTTCGCCCGATACCGCTGCTGTCTGCTGACGGTGTGAAGATGCGGCGTGTCGGAGCTGCATAATAAAAGAGTGAAATGTTATAGATGAGAACAAAAAATAAATGTGAAGACCGCTAAATGTAAGCACGCACCGTTGCGAAAAGATCGCCTTACTCAAAGTAGACCAGCTTGATTATTCTTTTGGTATAATTGTTATTATTGCACACTGAGGACGTTCTCAAAAGCGAAATCGCAATTCTATGCACAATGGTTGTAACTAAAACAACTTCCCATCGACAGAAGAAAACTACGCTGTAAAGGCATTCAACTTTTATTTAAGAGATATTCCCCGTAACCTAGTATGCCAACCTTAAACGTTGATTAATGTCATGCACCTACCATGACACAAAAACGAAATGATGCCGCATGCATGCATGTATGTACAGTGCAGCATCCAGCACGCATGTACACAGAATACAACTGCTCGTTTCGTGCAAGAACTCTATGGTCATGGAAACCCACTCATACAATCCTTGCCCTCATAACATTGAACTTCACGTTACTTTGATGAACTATTATAAAGCACTTTGCATTATTTGCATAGATTTTTTTACTCTTGACTTATAAAATATAACTTATTTGAGAAGTGACTAGAACAGGAAAACTTGTGATCATACACCAACAAGTTACTCGAAGACTAGGTACGCCTAAAAGCTATATTCTGCTCAAGGCAATTACGTAGCCGCTATCATTAGTACTAGATAATGGTGTAATGATTATTGCTCATTTATACAGATAAGGGCCACGTTAGGGTGCGATAGTCTAACAGCCTGATGGGCATACGAAACTCTAACAACATGTGATTAGTCAATACTTTAAAAGTAACCACAGATATTTTTGTAAATTATATTATATCCTTATTATTTTGCATTTATCTTGTAAGGCGTAACATTTCGTCGGTTAAAGCGCCAAAAAAGCTTACGCTCAACGACGCCTTTGTTACAGAGTGTGTTACACAAAAATTAGTAATACTTGAAGTTTCAATCAAGTTCGTGTAAAAAGTATCGTTTTTATCTATTTGTGAAGGCTCCGCTTTGCCTTGGTCAGAGCCCTAACCAACAGGAACTTTTACCCGGGTCTTTTCCGATAGGAAGGTTCCAAAAAGGAAAGAATTCCATGAATAAATAGAAGAATCTTAAAAAATTCGTTCCCATCGAATCCAGCCAATTTCGATCTGCTAACGGACGAGAATGCGGTATTAGAGCAATTATCATAGCTGCTCAGATTGAGGTAGCGGTAGAATTGTCAAAAATGGGGAAATCTTCGAGAATGGTGGCTCACGCTCAGTGAGAGAATGCTCTGCAACGAGCTTTCTCTCACTGAGCGTGTTCTCTCTCTGAGAGGATTCTGTTTTTAAGCAGCTGAAACTGAATAGGTAAGAAAAGCACAAGTCGTCACAGCGGTGGTCGTTCATTGTAACGTATTGAAGTATTCACTTCATCCAAGACAGACATAGAACAAAAGCTGTTGAAAACATATACAAATAACAAGCAAAACATTACCAGTACCAGTATCACGATGAATACCATTGTAGCCAGCCGCTGCTTGAGCTCTATGGCGATCCACTCCAGTTGAAGGTATCCTTGAGACGTCCGTTGACGCCGATGGCAACCTCCGAAATGGCGTCCACTTTTCTGTGGTCTCTTCTACCCGCTCTGCCGAAAATCCATCGACGGTGGTGTTCGACTGCGACGCTGGTGGTGCACGATATGGGTCATCTGTAAGATGTTAGAGCGTAGACTGTACGTTTAGACCTACACCTAGATGCAATAAACAAAGCCTAGTTTTACGAAAACTGAAATCTTGATTTTTATTCTTTTCCATTATATTGCATTGTAATATAACCTACTTCTATATGAACAAATGCCTTCTACAAACACTAACCGTGAGGATCACAGCACACTTTAAAGATGAGCTTCATGTTATGCTCTCGGCAGGCACCACCGTGATCTTGATTAAGCCCTCCGGGACGTCCGCTTGATGTAGATATCAGATAATAATCGAAACCGGGTCGAAACTCATGTCCTCCCGGTTGAGGCGTGAACGATCTAAACACACGTTGACGATCAATAAACAGAAGAGGAACATGAAAAATGTTCACCCCATTGTAAACCCATAATAGTACCTAATATATGACGAATCTGTTCTCCAAGAACAACAGCAAAAAAAGACGCTTACCTGAATGTGATGGTATACTTCAACGCTTTTCCAGCGTTTCCATTGCATTTTGCCACGAGCCGCGATGCCGAACTCCCGAGAAGGGTACAGGTTTCGTACTCGTGCCGGGAAGCTAGATAGATAATATACGTTTCCATATCTCGAGGCGGTGTTCCCACCAAATACGACGGGCAAATTATATCCACCTACAGGGCCGCAATTTTAACAGTAAAAGAAAAACTAAGAAAAATGCTGCACATTTTTGCTTATCGTGAGCTGTATTAACTAGTAACAAAGGGCAAAACGTTTCGCTTTTCGAAGAAACGTAATTTTTTGAGCAAAGTTCGCCCTAAGATGTAAAAGCTTACGATCCATCGTTTAATAGGGAACAATTTAGACTATATAACCGAAATATATAGCAGTACGCAAGATGGACAAGCGAAAGTATACGCAGATACGTACATCTGACAGCTGCCTTCAGAAGTTCAGATCGCTGAATCTGTTCACCTCACTTTCGTATATGTCATGTACGTCATCTAGGGCAAGTATCTCTAATTAGGTTTCGTAGGAATATAAACTCTATAATAAAGGTGCAGGGTGCAGCTTAAAGCTGTCTTACATAGGTCGAAACTATTATAGTGGCATAGCATTTGTGCAGTGCATACCTGATCGAAGTCGTACGCTTGATTTCCCCGATTAACGTCGATTATGTGATCCGTATTGTCGATTCGGAACCTGTAGAGTTGAGACAAAACAAAGACGCAATGAGAGCGAATACTGCCCAATTATACTCATTATTAAAAGCATTATAGCTACAGCATCTGTTTGAAGTAAGTAGCTTCCCCTTACGACTTCATTTAAAAGTCCTTCATTACTGCAACATAGCAACTTATGAAGCCATTAAACAAGACCACTGCACATAACTGTCATAATAGTCGAAAAGAGGCTCGATTTTAACTTCTCTCTTGGCTAGATAGACGACATCCATTACTAACACTGACCGTCCTATCTTATCTCACCTTTTTCGATTAACAGCCCCCCTCCCCCCCTCGCCCCCTCGCCCTCGCCCTCGCCGCCGCTTCTGTAGTGCTCGTCCTAAACGCCTTTAAGAACCCCTAATCCTAATTTCTTTGTCCACCATATAGGCAATTCTGCTATATTGTTCCGACCAGCGGCGATCATAGCGCCCGCTAACGCAGCTAATCTTAACGTCTTGTTCCGTCGGCCTTCTCCTGTAACAGTCAACGCATGGATGGATCAATGCGTTACCTTGTACAGCTCTAAATTCAGCTCTTAGCTGGAGCAGCGATCGAATGAATTAAGTGAACTCAGCTACCAGCACTACTGATAAAGCCACAAAAACAACAGGCAGCGTCAAACTCGCGGTTAACCGCAAAAACCAATTAATGCGCCTCTGATGTCTTCTTATATGGCGATGATGATGGTCATGATTCTGAGCGGCAGTAGCTAACGTGATCAGCGATTCTGAACTAAATACATGTCATGGCCGCGACCAGTATTAACCACCACCGCCGACGCTGCTGCTGCTGCTGCCGCCAGCTCGTTTCCGTACGATTTTAAAAGTCCTATTTCCCAGCCGGCGGGTGTCGGACGATACGTGCTTGCTGTTCCGCTAAGCGCTTTCCCAGCGAATAACCGCGACGGAGCAAAGAGGCGGTTGTCTTGGAGAAAGTACGCAACAGCGTCGACGCGTCAACTCGCTGCGGACTCTGCCTCTTAATGCAGCACCTTGTCGCGCTAGAGTCGACCGGCACAGCGAAAAAGGAGGCCACATCACGAGTGTTGAAACACAGCCACTAACGGCAGCGGCACCAGCATCTGCACAGATTCCGCTTTTCGCACCATCCCCGTCCAGTTTCTTCCTTTGCTTTTCTCCTTTGAAGATGTTCCGCCAGCCATAATAGTCATACTGCTGGCGATGTGCTCTTTTGTTGTGTTGCCTAGACGCAAATGCTTCTGAAGGCAACGACGACAAAGAGGAAAGAATAGAAAGAACTAAAAGAAAGAGAAGGAAGAAGAGCAGACGAGAGGATAAACAGGCAATGGACCTAAGAATGCCGAGAAGAAAGATGGCGCTTGCTCCAGCCAGTGTGCGCTACAACTGAACACGGCCAAACGCTCCGGGACGAACAACAGGCAACATACGATAATCATACGACGCAGCGCCGCGAGCCGCTCAAGGGAACTCTAGCCGGCGCTCTTTGAAGCAAAAAATAAAAGAAAATAGAAAAGTAACCAGCGATTATGGACTGATTCGCTTTAAGCTTTGACCAATTCTTCTGTCGATCCACGACCACAACGTTGTGGGCGATGCCAGCATGTTCAAGACCGGTTTGGGTCGATAAGTGGGCAGCGGAGGCTTAAGTAGTAAAGCAGAGAATAATAGCATGGACATATAAATCTACTCGATCTAAAATTGGAGAAGTGGTTAAATGTATTTAGTACATATTCGTTCGGTAGCGTTCCCTCGAGGGGAAAAGCGATATAATGGAAATAAATAAGTCATACCGTCTCAGAACAATACGTGTCAGTAGGACTATGTCGTCTATTGGCGACAGCTTCAACTGCCCTTGACTACACGAGCGTCTGATGTGAAAATGAAGTGTCGATTCCGCTTGCGGTTTAATATAGGCGTTCTATAGTTGCTGTTGTAGAATTTAGAGAAATAACCGAAAAAGTTAGATAATATTGTAGAAGCTTAGAAGGGTCAGAGTCAACTAGAGAGAATGCCTGCAGAGGAGGCCTAGCACTAGGACACAGAAAGAAAATGCACCTGGTGCTCTCGCGTAAAAAACAGCAAACGCTTGGTGTGCAGCAGACTCAAAAACACATAACAGAAGACGCCATAATTCCGTATATTATAATGTAGGATGCGCACGTTTGACCGGCTCAGTTTCAGAGTTTCATCAAAACAACCATTATCACGGTGTCGTGGCACATATAAAGGATATGAAAAATTCGCCAGACCCTGTTGTTGAAGCAAGGAAAAATCAATATTCTAAAGACGGTAACAGGCATCCATAATCATAGCCATAATAACAAGCAAGCATCATAGCGATGAGAAAACATCAGGATGCCGCGCTTCTCCGCAGGCGTAATCGTCAACCACAAGAAGCTCATATATCCAAAAAATGGGTAAAACTCACACATAGAAAACTCATTCAAGCTCTCTTAGATCAAAGGACTTGACCGCGCTAAACTGTTATGTCGGACGCAGACGCCAGTACGTAGCGCTGTAAAAACACGCTCGATCCGAATTTTTCTGAAGGTCCACCATATTAATAACAGCAGAATATTTGTGAATACGTTAAATATTCAGTGGTATAGTAAACGAATCTGTAATAGATCGATGATCTGTTCAGTCTGTTCTGTTCAGAGAACTCTATCGATGAAAATCGATTTGCGGAAACGTCCCAACAGATTAATCCTAAATAAGTGAAGGTTTTTAGATTAGAACCCAGTAGACGACCCAAAAACAAATGAAACGCTATTAAGACGATGTACCAACGCACGTGGGCGTTGTGATCAAATAAAAAAAAAAACACCAGAGTCGTAGTAAACCGGAGAATACATTAAGCAAAGCTACATTTCTCGAATCAAACAAACAATAAGATTAGGCATTTCGAGAAACGGTGCTTTAACGAAAATATTGTCCGGAATTCGACGATACAACAATGAACGAAGTACGTTTGCATGTTCTTAAGAGTAAGGCTATTTTAAGATCGTATCAACCCTACTTGGTAACTAACCGATACGGCACCTAACTGTAAACAACCCGATCTGGGTATTGTTACCGTTTTCACAAATGAAACATATACATATCTCATTCGTACAAGCTTTGACGTATGCTCATAGAAATGCTGCTTAGGCCACCGTGGAAGGTACAATGCGAGGAATGCCATAATATGTCAAAACGAGGCGCGATATAAATGATCTGCCTTGTTAACAGCCTCGTTACAGAGCGAGCAGCGGCCCAGTCTTCAAAAGTCGTTTATTGGTTCGCTTGTAAAGACTGAAAGCTTTTTAGAGCCGGTCCTGCGATGGTCGCCGTGTCGTGCCTTTATGTCTAGCTCGACGCGTAAAGTCTTTCGTAACTCGGCCCCGACAGACGCATGGAATGCCATGTAAGATTTCAGTGTAGTACATAGTAGCATCACGCACCAGCCCACCAACTGACAGGTTTTAAGAAGTCGACTTCGGCGTCATGTTTAACAATCAGCTCTATAAAAATTTCAGACACTTATCTTTAGCCATTATCGACGTTTTATAGGCAAATGAGTGATAGTTCTCGCAACAGAAGAGCGAATTACCGTTTGATAATTCATTGGATGAATTTGACTATGTCACACTGGCAGCACGTTCAAAGGGCTTGCCAGGGAGGGCATTAATCCCTGCCGCTGTTGCTAACAGATGTTATAAAAAAAATGCAATAAATATTTGATAAACTCGCGTTCTGCATAAGTTGTGCATAGGAGTAAACATGCCACAGAACAGGATTAACCTCGTGTATACTATGCTTGCAATTGTTTAGCGACAGAAGGTCTGCTAATAAAACGATACCACATCAAATTCCCTACTTGCTTCTCGTCCTTAAACGTGGCGCGATCAGACCGACCGATTAACGCTGGTATCCTGTCACTATGTGTGCTATGCACGGTTATCACACACTGCCGGATTTGCTAGCGGCAGGCGCTACTTTTGCTTTGCTTCGAAGTTACAATATCCACCACCGCTCCCACGACTACTACCATCTGGAGACACGCGTGAGCTCGCATTAAGAGCAACGGCAGCAGCACGACGTGCCCGCGTCAATAGTGCTGCCGGTAGCATTAGCGTCTTCTCTCTAACAACTACGCACGCGTAGTAGGCCGCGGCCTGTCTTGACTCGCGATTGCGTCGTCGTCATCGCGCCCGTCCTAGTCAACCTTAGTCAACAAAGCGCAGACAACCTGTGTTGTTAGCAACCAATGAACGCCTATAGCTTAAGCTTTCCGGCACACGCCGGACGACCCGAACTGGCTTTCTGTTTGTCTGTCTATCTGTCGACCGGCCGATCGGTTTGCTGCTTGCCGCCATCAGACCGTAAGGACAAGGGATAGCGATGAGCGAGACAGTTTCTACCTGCACAGAGAGAAAGGCGGTACAACATTCTTTTACCACTACAATCTGCCGCTGGTGGTGGTATGTTTCTCTCAGGAAAAGCGTCTCTGTCCTGCGTTAAAAGAACGAACGTGACGCATACACCACAACGAAAGGGGAAAACGACAGAGGGCTTTAGGGGACGAAAATCCTTAAACGCGATTGCATGGATGTATAGACGTGGATCGAACGTAGGGAGTCAGGTCAAGAAGGTATTCGCTGCGAGACAAGTAGCACTTGACAGCAGCAAAAGCTAGAACTATTTGAAGTGATGTTTTTGTTGTGGTGAATCCTCTGTGCAACTGTAACAGGGCAGAAGGTACTGTAGAAATACATCGTCTAACAACGAATCGCTGGGCAGCATCGTTTCGCATTATGTCACCCTTGCTGCGAATCCTTAGGTAACAAACGAGAAAAAGGATCTTGGGCGAAGCTGCTTTTCGACATTTGACGTCAATAGAGACTTGTCAATAGGACTTGGCAGGACACAGAGTCAAAGACAGTTGTCTACTGGCAAGTAAGCACTAAGTGTTATCATAGATGGTTACGTTATGAGATAGGCCCAGTGAATTAAA